AAATAATTATTATATTGATAAAGAAGTGATTCGGAGACGTTAATCTACAAATGGAAACTGTTTCTTTCTTCGACCTCTCACTTCTTGGCATTTTTAAGGTAATTGGTAAATATCATTGCATTGTTTGATATTTCCGTGTCTATCTGCTGCAGTTTGATCCGCCATGTCCATCACGTTGTACGAGGACGAAAAGTCATTTACAGAAGGAAAAGGGGTCACGTTTACACAGTCACGAGCGAATCTTCTCAAAGACGGGAAATTCACAATAGCCGATGTTAAAGCAGGAAACTGGATCTTCTACGAGCGCCAAGACTACCATGGCCCTTTAGTGAAGACAGTAACAGTTGTTGAAAAACACGTAACCATAAGTGGCGTTAATGGCTCCGTGTTCCTGGTAGAAAATCCCCAACTCATTTTGTTTAAAGACTTTGGCTATCGTGGAGAGAGGAAGGTACTACGAATATAATTAGTGAACTTATTCAGTAATAACTGGGGAAACCTATGTTCTCTTTGTTCTGCTATACTGTTTATAATAAAAACTACGCAAATATATCAAAGGCCTATGAGAACAATTATGAGACACCAAAGATTTTTTTTTACTTCAGATTCAGCTGAAGCCGGTTAGAATAGAGATTTCAATGGCTTTTGATTTGAACAGGCTTTGTTTTGTCAACTCTGGCCCGGAATCATTATTTGCAAAAGAAACTACTTTTCTCGTAAAAAAATTATCTTGCAATTCAATAATCTGCTCAGAGAGGTACAATTATGAAATAACTTAATTTTAACATACCTATTTTAGTTCATTCAATTTTTAATATCAATATGTGTTTGCAAACAAAAGCCTTATCGGCCTAGCTGAAATCATGTATCAGATACTTTTAGCTACACAAATTCAGGGTTTTAGTTCGGGTTAGGTCAAATCTTGAAATTTCAAAATTCTCCATGCCAAACTATTGTAGTTTCAAAATTTGTAAACTTACCAGAAATTGACTCACCGTGATAACCCTGGAGGGGGGGGGGGTGGGGGTTACTCGACCAATATTTGGGTATAGGTGAGCCGCTGAGGGTTTGACCCTGTTTAGGACAAAAAATTCCTAAAATATATACCCTGTTTAGGACAACACAATCAATTTTAGTACATTGTTTAGTACCCTGTTTACACTAAGACGAAATCGATCGTGCATGAAACACCCTGTTTATAATTAGAACAGACTCGCACAAATCATGCGCACTGTTTAGGACAGTCGTGCGCGTAATTGTATACCCTGTTTAGGACAGTCGTGCGAAATTATATACCCTTTTTAGGACAGAGAGGACGAAAACCATACCCTGTCCAGCGGCACATCCCCGTAAAGGCCATATAAGGGAGTACCCCCCCCCCCCGGGGATGATAACACACGTTAATAAATCACCACGTTGGCGNTGGAGAGAGGAAGGTACTACGAATATAATTAGTGAACTTATTCAGTAATAACTGGGGAAACCTATGTTCTCTTTGTTCTGCTATACTGTTTATAATAAAAACTACGCAAATATATCAAAGGCCTATGAGAACAATTATGAGACACCAAAGATTTTTTTTTACTTCAGATTCAGCTGAAGCCGGTTAGAATAGAGATTTCAATGGCTTTTGATTTGAACAGGCTTTGTTTTGTCAACTCTGGCCCGGAATCATTATTTGCAAAAGAAACTACTTTTCTCGTAAAAAAATTATCTTGCAATTCAATAATCTGCTCAGAGAGGTACAATTATGAAATAACTTAATTTTAACATACCTATTTTAGTTCATTCAATTTTTAATATCAATATGTGTTTGCAAACAAAAGCCTTATCGGCCTAGCTGAAATCATGTATCAGATACTTTTAGCTACACAAATTCAGGGTTTTAGTTCGGGTTAGGTCAAATCTTGAAATTTCAAAATTCTCCATGCCAAACTATTGTAGTTTCAAAATTTGTAAACTTACCAGAAATTGACTCACCGTGATAACCCTGGAGGGGGGGGGGGTGGGGGTTACTCGACCAATATTTGGGTATAGGTGAGCCGCTGAGGGTTTGACCCTGTTTAGGACAAAAAATTCCTAAAATATATACCCTGTTTAGGACAACACAATCAATTTTAGTACATTGTTTAGTACCCTGTTTACACTAAGACGAAATCGATCGTGCATGAAACACCCTGTTTATAATTAGAACAGACTCGCACAAATCATGCGCACTGTTTAGGACAGTCGTGCGCGTAATTGTATACCCTGTTTAGGACAGTCGTGCGAAATTATATACCCTTTTTAGGACAGAGAGGACGAAAACCATACCCTGTCCAGCGGCACATCCCCGTAAAGGCCATATAAGGGAGTACCCCCCCCCCCCGGGGATGATAACACACGTTAATAAATCACCACGTTGGCGTAAAATCTCAGGGCTTTCTCAGAAGTGGGCGGCAAACTTCGAACTAAAACGTTTGCCATTACCCCTCCCACCAGCCCGGAACAGATGTAGCCGCTGTTTGGAAGAGAAGTCACCAATGGCGCGTTTCCCTGACTCCAAACAATACTAAAACGATAGAAAGAATGACATGTCATTGTTTCCTGCGACCAATTAGGAGAGACCTTACGAGCAGCTGCTACACTACTCTGAAACGAGCAAATATTTCACGACTGACATATCCGCGAAGTAATAAAGTGAATTCCCCGGGGGCGTTACTCACCAATGTTTTATACCGGGAGACTCCACCGCTTTTTCGTTGCATTGGTAATATGCGAAATCTTCTCGATTTGAAGAAACTTGGCGCGCAAGGTGGCCCCGGTTAATTTTTTTAGCATGCGCCCAAGGCGTTCTTGGGAAATTCTGGAAACACATCGTTGACTTGTCTCCATTTCCGTCTTCTCCCGGGTCCGGTCTAGGGATGAGTGCGGGCTCATTTTCCCGAACAGCGGCTGGTAATCTAGCCTCCCACGCAGGAAGCTCGTCTTTCTTGTGGGGAGGGATGAAAGACGAGCTCCCCTAAACACGCCTGCGTGGGAGGCTACTGGTAATCGAGCCTAGTCGTTGACCGGTCAGCATTAGATTTCCATCCTCCAGAACCTCCCCTCTTAACTACACTTACGTGAATTTCCTAAATCTCTACTCTTTCTACTCTTATACTACTACATGAGAAATTTCTGCAATTTGGTTGGCTTAGACCAGTGGTATTTCAGCTTAATTTGAAATACCTACATGTGAAAATTACAAACCTTTTGCGAGTAATAGTATAAACAAATAATAGCATGATTTGTACATGATATTTTGCATAAATTCCACTCGTAATATTCAAAATTGTCTCAAATTTCACTCGTCTAACGGCTCGTGAATTTATGTAAAACAATTTCGAAATATCACTCATGGTATTTATGCCAAATATCACTACAAATCATGCTATTACCTATACTTCTAGTCTTTCTCTAAGGGTTGATTTCCATTGTCGCGTAATTTTTACGTGCGTAAATTTTACGTGCGCAAATAAGATAAAGGCAACGCATGAACGGTCGCCCGTAAACGTAAAAGTTAAATCTTGCTCAACTTCACTTTTAATCTCAACACTTTGGGTCGGATATTTAAACAAAGTCTAACTTAGAACGCGGTTTACGAAATCTTTGGACTTTTAAATCTCGTCCATAGTGGGTTATTTTAAGAAGACAAATGCTTTTCTAATCTACGCCATATGCTTTCATGAAACTGTTCACGATAAATCGTATTTATATAAAAGCGTTCGGGAAACTGTAAATGGTTAACAACGGCGGTTTTGTTAAACACTGGCTAAACTCCGTTTAAATAACTGGACCTTTATATCTTGTCTTATTTTTTTGTTTACGCGATTAAAATTTACGTGCGTTCCCCTGGTTAACACGCGCGTAGCCAAAAACGCGTCAGTGGAAATCAACCTTAAGTCTAGGTCCCCTCAATTATTTTTTGGGAACTGAAAAGGGAAATTGACTGTGGCATTAGCGGGATCATAAGCCGCGGTCTTAGCAACCGAACTCTATCGCCTATACCACTACACCACAGTGGATTCATCAGAAAATGAGGCGTTCGTTTTACATTATTTCTAGTGACAAACCTATAAGTAAATTAAAGTTAACCACTTAGAGTCAGTGCTTAAGCCAAATCACTATAACGTTTTTCACGAAGTTTTCAGAAAATGTCATAACCATAGAAATAGAGTTCTAAAGTGATGACGTCATAAAAATAAAATTTGGGAATTTATAGGATTTGTCAAGATATTCAGAAAGAACAATGTCCAAAACACCTACTTGCCAAAAATTAGGATTTCGGGGCAACTTGTCTCAAATTGCAAATCCTTCTAAATATGGCTTGAGTCTAAACGTTTAGACCCTTTTGGGCGGCACAACATCATCATCATCATCTTTTTTTATTTAAACAACTTGGGTTTTAAAGCTGATATAACTTAAGGGGCACATACCTATAAACTGCAGCTATAAAGTAAATATAAGGGAGCACCCCACCCCCGAGTAAAATCCCTACCCTTTCAAATACCTAAAGTTTAATAAAGGTACATCATTAGGGCGGAGCCTCCCCCGCATAGGTCATTATAGGGAGTACCCCCTGGGGGTGAATTCCAGCTTGGTTAGTTAGTTGTTTTTTTTTTTCAGTTTCTAGCCGTGTTGCATTTAAGAGAAGTCTAATGCTGATCCAAACCTCACGATCATCTTTACTGACATAATCTGAGTGTTACCTTTTTATTATTATTATTTTCTTGTAGTGGTTTCAAGACAATCAGGAAGATCTGACCGGATTATTCCCAGTAGAAACAGAGGAAGGAGAAGACGACAAAAAATCAGGCGTCTCCTCTGCTATCTTGTTGTCTAAGAACCGGTCCGTAGTTTTGTTCACCGAAGCCAATTTTGGAGGCAAGAAATATACTATGCAACCAGGAGAGTGGTGTGAAAAGGTGAAGTTCACGGACGACCACCAGGCGGGACAGAACGACAAATGGCTGAGCTTCAAATTTATCTAAAGGCGTAAGGGTTGAAAAACCCAACCTGCCCAGCCAGCCACACTCCATTTTGCTCGAGTTTTCTTTTAGTCTCGAAGTTATGCAGTTTTTGATCGAGAAGCCGATTGTAATTAGTACACTTTAGGATTTTAAGAGTTCTAAAATGTTGTCAAAACCAGAGGGAAGAATTGAATAAATGAAGATTGTTTCCTTTATCCAGCATTTTGTCTTTGTAAACTTTAACTTAATTGTACGGGAAACTGGCTGTGACATTCAAATGGGAGATGAAACTTTTTGCCTCGTACCCAGACGTCTCTCTCTTTCGATGAAAATTTGCGCGCAAAGAAAGGCGGGAAGGAGAAAAAGGGCGAACACCTCTCTTGTTTCTCCTTCCCATGGTCCATTGCGATTCGTCACCAGTCACTGGCGTTTCCCGTTGGCCTCTATGTGGAATAAATACGAAGCACCTGAGAAGCACCGGAGAGATAAGAATCAATGTGTTGTGGCTGAATTTTATCCTTGGTTTAAATTTTATTTTCTTTTGTTACAAAATCATACAATACCCTCTGTAACCAAATGTTGTGTGATACAATCAGTTCTCTGTAGCTTTAATTCTTCACTCCATTAAAGTATATTTCTTTACATGTTCATATTTTAGCATTCTGTACTCTGTTCTACACGTAAAGGATTCACCGACATCAATTCGCGTAAAAATTCGATGATCTACACTCAATCCACACACTTGATCAGCTTCCACGACTCTGAACCACTACACAGTTCTAGACTCTCGTGCAAAGCTCAGTTTTTAGATCACGTGACGACTTTTTCCGCCACAATGACGCAATAATTTACTCCCCACCTTGATTGACACAGGACAATCAACAACGAAACAAATAATATAACAAATGAAAGGAAAAGAGTTCGCCGTTCTTTAACTTAAGGTTAATGTTCACTAACATGTTCCTGTTCGGCATTTCCCACGAAAGGTAATGGGGAAATCAGTGTTTCTGTTTTGACGCTCTTCCCGCACTTGTGATTCGACTGCTACAGGGTAAAGCCTATTCAGTTACGGGTCTTGTCATTTCCACGACTCGATCTCCACTACGCACTCTTACAACAGCTCCTCTGTGGTAACCATCTCGTCCTGTTTTGAGAGATTTGACGACTCTCGTTGGCTTCCTGTTACTCAAATTGCAATTGTGATGAACACGTAATTCTGTTAAGTATTCCTTCTGCCAACGTTTCCAAAAATGTGAAAGTACAGTATTCAAGTACTTCTCACGTCTTGAAAGATCGCGCACAGTGTGATATCCCGCACTTGGTTGTTTAGCGCTTCCGTGTGAACTCAACAAGCGACGACCAATAACAAGTTGCGACGGTGTATGAGGATCTCGCATTTCATCACTCACATAAGTTAGAGGCCTTGAATTCAGGATTCCTTCGGTCTCGACAATGATTGTAAGAAGTTCTTCATAAGTGACTCGAGCTGTTCCTAAACTCTTTTTCAGACAGCGCTTTGTTGATTTAATGACACGTTCAAAGAATCCACCCCACCAGGGTGCTAATGCCACGTTATATTTCCAGGATATGCTATACTCTGCTAACAACCTTTTAAGCTCTTCACCCGTGCAAGCCTTGGGATGTCAGCTTTCTTGAAACGAAATTCTGTAAGACATTCATCTTCGTTGAAATGTTGAAGGTCGAACTCGGGATACAAATGAAATGGCAAATAAAGGTTTTCTGGGCTATACGAATTATATAACAACAGAAATTCAGCATCATTTATAAAATTCATGCCATAAGAAAGCACAGCAAGGTCTGTTATTTCTTTAAACGAAACCATTGAAGAGAAATCAACCAAAACCTAGACGGGAAAACTAGTCCTGTCGTCCGAGTTTGTTTACATTTTGTTTCGGCTGTGACGTTGCCGTACCGAGCGTAACTTAACCATTTTGAGTTTTGGCGGGCGACCGCGTAGTCGCCCCAGCCCTTTCCGGTTACAACAGCCGTAGCAGAGCTATGCCGTAGCGAATCTTAAAGTCGCTATTCTCTCTAACGGCACCCGGAACATGGAACATCCCGGAACATCCCGGAACATTCCGGAACATCCCGAAACATCCCGGAACATAAAAAATTAAAATATTTTTTATGAAAAAATAATTAATTAATTAAATAATAATATTAATAATAATAATAATAATAATAATAATAATGATAATAAAAAGAACAATAGATAGAAAATAATTTTTGCAAAAATTTATAATAGCAAAATAAATAACATAACATAACATAACATAAAAACGAAAAAGAAAGAAAGAAAGAAAGAAAGAAACTGGTCTCCGAGTATGAGAAAACAATATTTTGTCGCAATGACTTTTTTGGGCGAGTGAGGGCCCATTCAAATTACAGTAGTGAGTGAAGGTTTGCTTCTAAATTCACGTGGGTAAGCAAGTTAAAGCAATCAGGTTTAACTATGACCATTTTTCGGTGTCTCAGTCAGATTTAATGGGACCCGCAACCGACCTAGCTATGTTCGCCGTCCATAGTCCCCAATGAAGTAAGTTGGAAATGGACTAGGTGTAAATTAAAATGTTTTTATTCTTCGGAGGCAGTCCCGAAGTCGCCGACTACTGTAGATTAAACAAGACACGCTGATTCGAATTAAGAAGGCTTAGCTGGGGTTGGTGGATAAAGAACGAAGTATATGCCGTATTGTGTTGTTGTTGGGATTCATGAGCATATAAGACCCGAAGTATATTACTTGTAAACTAGATTGCCCGACGTTGATTTGTCAAGGAATAAGCAACAAAATGAAACTGACAGCAAATAGTGATCCACAACATTTTGTAGTGATGACTTTATACAAAATATATTCAAGATCGACGAAGCAATCGTCTAGATTTCTAAGATCGTGCCGAGAACGCTTGACCTATTTAAGAGAGTGGCGGCAAAATAATCCAAGCAAAAAGGCTAAGCATCTTTAATACGCGGTCTTGGTTGTTTGTCATCGGTCGAATCGACTTTAACAAGTCCGAGCGAATCCATTTTAGGGCGAAACGACCACATATTTTAGATGTACTAGTGAAAATAGTTGTTACATTGAAGTGAATAATGCTGTATTTAAGATGTAATGTAAATAAATAACTTTGACCAGATGAAAAATACATTAATGATGTTGATCCCTTGTTCAAAAACTTGTACTAAGAAGGCATAACATGAAAGCTGAAATACAAATTGAATGGAATCTCACGAATATAACTCGACCCTTTAGTTAACAAACCTTAATTTAAAGATTGGCTGCGTTGGCTTTTGCGTGTAGATATGCTTTAATTGCGCTGACAGGGAAATGCCAAGGCAAGTAAAGCGGAAACTTTTTGGACTTATAGCAAATTTGGTAAAATCGAAAAGTGAACATTAACATGACAACGAACTGCGAGAAATCGCAAGTAACGCGAAAAATCGTCAAACTTGCGATTTTTAGCAATTTTCGCAACTCGGTCTGGCGACTCGGTCTGGCTTAGTGATTATGAACAAGATAAAGAACTGCGAAAAATCGTCAGACTTGCGATTTTTCACAACACAACGAAAAATCGCAGTTTTTGCTGCTACGTGCGAACCTGGACATAAGTGGGATTCGAACCCTTGACCTCTGTGATACCGGTGCAGCGCACCGGGCGGAAGAGCGCTGTATCGCAGAGGTCAAGGATTCGAATCCCGTACAAGCCTGAATTTTTTTTAGGCTTTCTTTTCGCAGCTGCAAAAGTTGCCTATATAACCTGCGATGATCTCCTCCTTCATTTAATTCTTCACTCCGCAGTTCACATATAAGATTTTCATATATTCGTAACTTCATCACTTTACCCATAATCGAATCACAAGGCCAACAAGAATAACCAATACTAATGAGACCCTGATTGATAATATATTTACTGGGCTGCCTGTGAGCCCAGTCATAAAATGGGCTTTCGGTCGTCTGCGGCGAAAAACGGCCTCCCGGGGGAGGGAAGACACGAGGGTCTGGTACCGAGAAACGATGTTCCCACAAATGGTTTCATATGAGTTTCTCTTGCACGGATACTTTTTGTACCTCGTCTACGCTCCCCCTGAAAAACCCACAAAGCGTTGCGAACCTGAAGAAGGCTATTTGCGTCGTTCGAAGCGATTCGATCATGGGAGTCACTCTATAATTTTTTTACTGTTCGAGTTTAAGTCAGTTAGATGATGTTGGCGCTGGGAAACTCAGAGAAATGCTCGCGTTGCATTCAAACCGACACGCTGTTCACGGTAGGTTCACACTAAAAGATGACTGTGAGCGTCAGGTTTGGAACGCCGTGGCCGCTTCGTGAACTCAAAGAGAGAATTCTCGATCGATGTAGTACATGAGCAATTTAGAAGCACAATTTATGAGCAAGGTATTTCACCAGTTGACGACACTATGGCTGAAGACTTGATTGTAAGCCGTCGTAGTCAGTGAAGCGAACAACTTAGTTGCCGATGAATGGCACTACGCACGTCCATGAGCGAGGGACGTGACAACTTTGCCATGTTAGAAGACTGGCTTTTCCTTTAAATATTTCCTTCTATTTAATGCAACACACGCCACTTTGGAGGTCTAAATTTCGGATACTGAGGATAAAGAAGACACGGACAAAAATAGGGACTCTGAGAATTTCGCACACAAGTTTAAAGCCTTACCGGGACATCCCATCCGGGAGCTTCACAGAGAGCGACTTGAGGAAAATAGGAGCTATTACTGACAAGGTTTGGTGACTGAGTAGAGCATACAAGTGTAGCCCACGTCGATGTTTCAGGGGGTTTGCTTTTGTTTGTATTTGTATCTTGCTAAGCTTTTATCATTAAATTTGTACATGATCTTGTGATCACAATTCTGTGTTTTCGCCCATTCAGCAAGCACGCTATATTGATGTCAGCATTAGCGAGTTTCAGAAACATGCCTTTGAAAGTTTTCAGCTCTCGTGATGTTTCTTGATATTTCTTTTACCATTTTATGAAGATGTTTA